GCCATATTGTTACTCTGCTATCCTTCAGGGGCTTGCCCTTATGTGCTCGGTTTAATTTGGGTCACCACAACATCTGCCTTCCAGCTCATGGGAAGGAGGGAAGTTAGAGACCCCCAATTTCCTTTTAACCAAGTGACCCAGAACTTGCTCACATCACTTCTGCCCCCAGTCTCCTGGCAAGAACTTAGTCATATGGCCATACCTAACTGCAAGAGAGGCTAAACTCTATGACTGTGGAAGAAGGGAAGAACGGATTTTGGTGGTAACTCTTATACTGCCAGAGTAGGCTAGCAGATTTTAAACTACTGGCCAAAAATAAACTTGAAGATTATCTACAGATTTTGTTTGAAATACTAAAATACTTTTAGTATTTTAGAACACAGGAAGAAGGAGTTGGCTAACTAGAGAACTTGGGTCAAAATAGCCATCTTGCATGCTCATTCATTAACCAGTTTTAATTCCAGTAGTGGATATTTAAATTTCCAAAATTTTCCATATAGTGACTCTATGGAAACTTTTAATACTGCAGCCTCTTTCACTGTCCTATTTTCTTATTGGATTGGCCAAAAATTTCCTTTGGTTTTTAAGTAAAAATATTAGACACATTTTTCATTTTCACTGAGAACTTTATTGAACAACGTATTCACCATTTTGTTCCACTACCTTCTGCCATTTTTCAGGCAACTTCATAATTCCATCTTCCCAAAACTTTTTAAAGAACCGTTCTAGGTGCCTTTTACAGTCTTCCAGGGAATTGAACTTTTTTGCATTAAGAGAATTTTGTAAAGACCGGAATAAATGGGAATCCAAAGGTGCAATGTGTGGTGAATACGGCGGATGAATCAGAACTTCCCAGCCAAGCTGTAACAGTTTTTTGCCTGGTCATCAAAGAAACATGTGGCCTTGCGGTATTCTGATGGAAGATTATGTGTCTTCTGTTGACTAATTCCAGACGCTTTTCGTCGAGCGCTGCTTTCAGTTGGTCTAATTGGGAGCAGTACTTGTTGGAATTAATTGTTTGGTGTTCCGAAAGGAGCTCATAATAAAGGACTCCCTTCCATCGCACCATATACACATCACCTTCTTTGGATGAAGACCGGCCTTTGGTGAGGTTGGTGGTGGTTCATTTCACTTGCCCCACGAACTCTTCCGTTCCATATTATTGTACAGTATTCACTTTTCATCGCCCACCACAATTTGTTTTAAAAACAGAACATTTTTGTTACGTTTAAGTACCGAATAGCATGAGGAAATATAGTCAAGAAGGTTTTTTTCGCTTAACTTATGTGGAACCCTCACATCAAAGCGATTCACATAACCAAGCTGGTGCAAATGATTTTCAGCGCTTGATTTGGATATTTTGAGTATGTCGGCTATCTCCCACGTGGTATAACCTTGATTGTTCTCAATTAATGTCTCGATTTGATCACTATCAACTTCAACTGGTCTACCTGATCGTGGAGCACTGTCCAGCGAGAAATCTCCAGCATGAAACTTCGCGAACCACTTTGGACACATTCGATCAGTCACAGCACCTTCTCCATACACTGCACAAATCTTTTTTTGCGTTTCAGTTGCGTTTTTACCTTTCTTGAAATAATAAAGCATAATATGCCGAAAATGTTGCTTTTTTCTTCCATCTTCAATATTAAAATGACTACACAAAAAAAATCACCAATTTTGATGTCTTTTAAAAATGCACGCTGATATGACAGCTGTCACAATACAATTTAACAAAATTGTTTCGAATGAAGTTAAAGACAACTAAGCACTACTCGAGCCATCTTACGGAAAAAAACGAACAAACCTTTCGGCCAACCCAACACATTTAAGCAAAATCTTTTTAATGTCTTTGAATCTTACACGCACACATACACACACACAGCGGTGGTACCGTTTATGAGTTCGCTCACAATCACCTTAGTAATTCGTTTCTTTTTCATCTGATACTCTATTCAGATGAAGGTATAGTGGAGCCGAGCAGCTCTTCTGAACTTCAGAAGCACTGTACTGTGATTTAGGGTTTGTTTGAAACAAATCATAAATTTGCTTGAAACAAATTAGGCGTGAAATCAGGAACCTTCTGATATATCACCACGGGGTTTATTGGAACCTGAGATACGGTAGAGATAGATACATAGGTTGTTTTCTTTTTATGAGCTGCAAGGTGGCATAAATGATAGTAAAACCACTGTTTAAAAAGTGACTTAGACCAGCAAATCTAAATCAGACCATCTAGTAAATTTCAGACATACTGTAATGGCCACTGAAATGGGGTTGATTGAGTGTTAAGTGTAAACTGAGATGTTTTCACTTAAAAAAATAGATAGATTGATATGGATGTGTGTGTGTGTGTGTGTATATATATTGGGGGGTGGGGGAGAAATCCTAAGAGAATTTGACAGAACTCTAAGGAACTGTCAAAATGCTTCATGAAAAAATTTTACTGCCCCTGTCTTCATCTCAACTAGCATTGTACCTTTAATGCTCATGCAAAATCTCCAAGTGCAGTCTTTCCAGCCATTTACAAATATTGCTTATGCAAACATTTGGTATAACAATGTATTGTATGCTATGGAGGACACAATGATTGTGCAAACAGTTGGTATAGCAAGATATTGTATGCTGTGGAGGACACAAATGCATACTATACTGCATGATCCCTCCAATAAGTGTTTTCTATAGTTAAGGAGAGAACATAATACAACTTTTTTTCCAAAGTACATGGAGCAAGTTCTTTAAATAAAGATGTGTATATAAATAACATACTTGGATCCTAAGAGCTGGCTATTACAAGGCAGTATTTAATTCATTTATATGAGTTAAAAAAAAATGAGTGACTTTAGGCCAGAGTAGTCATTGGAAAGATAGTCTTCATGTAAACTAGATTGGTGGAGGGAAGCACTTTCAGAGGAAGAAAATGTTGTCAGCAAAATATATGGATTTGCAGGTACATATGACATGCTTGAGAAACTGTAAAACAGGTTAATCTGGCAAAGATGGAAGTTATACATGGAGATAAGGCTAGACTTGCACACTGATATGACAGCTGTCAGATTATGAAGGTCAGATTATGAAGCATTCTTTAAAGCCATGATAGTTTGTATTTCTCTTTTTAAAAAGATATTGGAAGCCATTGAAGTTTTCTGAGTAGAGGATGTTAGAAGTGACTACTTAGACTAATCTGGTAGTCTAAGAGCAGATTGAAGGATGGGAGGGAAGGGAGCCCAATTAGGAAGTGATTGTAAGAATGGAGACATGACATGGTAAGATCCTGATGGAAGATTGGAAAAAAAAAAAAAAGATGCATTGGAAGGACATTACCTCAAGGATGTTAAGTGAGGGAGAGGAAAAATAAAGAAATGTGCTGAGATCTTGAGTCTGAATTACAAGGGGCAATGTCATCCTATTGCCAGAAATATTGAATATGAGGTAATACTGGAAATTCAAATCTAAAGGCATACTAGGTATCAGAAGATAGGTAAGAGGTGATGGATCTGGGGGTACAAATTTGGAAGTCTTTTGCCTAGAAATTATAAATGAAGCCAAGGAAGTGTGAATAAGCTAAGGAAGGGAGTGGGTAAAGAGAAGACAGCTGAGTTTCCATACTTGGTAGAAGGACAAAAACATGGTGATATTACATTCAGAAAGGTACAGAGAACCAACAAAAAGCCAAAAAGGGGAGTGTTCAAAGAAGTAGACAACACTGTGGATGTCAAGGAGAACAAGAACCAACAGAACATTGTATTTGACTCTTAGGGAGGAGAGGTGGGGAGAGAAAGACAGACGTAGACACATCCCATTTATTGAGTGCCTACAGTGAACCACTCTTTGTGGTAGATTCTTTTAGATCCATGATTTTATTTCTTCCTCAGAGTAAGATTATGTCCTCCTTTTTCATATGAGGAAATTAACACAGAATTTAAGTTTTTCTGGGTTCAAGATTCAAACCCAAGTCATAAATCTTTTTCCTATATCATGGTGAAGGTCATCTGTAAAAGAAATGGGCAAATCAATTGTGGGCTGCAGTTTGCTGTTGCCTCTTAAATGTTGCCAGAATAAAGATAATTATTCCACTATACCTCTAGCCATAGTCAGATCTAAGGGTTTGGGGTCCTATTCTTACTAGATTTTTGGTTGAAAGGGACCTTTGAATTTATCTAATTTTGTAGATTAGAAAGTGAGGTTTGGAGGCCATAAAGACTTATTCAAGATAGGGTCACACCTGGTTCTAGAAACTCAGGAGTCTGGACTCTGTATGCGTTCTCTTTCTACTTTTACATACCCTCTCTTCTCAGAAATAACAGGTGGTATTTATAGATGTCTACTCCAACAGCCTGAGCTCTTAAGTTTGTTCTCTGGCATCTTAATATCATTTCAAATAGATAACGCCTACTGTAAAAATGCCTGTGACAGACAGTAAGTACTAAAGAAAGTGAAGTTGATTTAATTTTAGATCCATAACCTGTGAGTCTCCTGCCCTTTTAATTAATTTAGTCAGATGCATTTGGAGAGGAGGGCATGCAAGTCATAAGTATCCAGGGTCACTTTTGCTTTGTACAATGATTTTTTTGTTTGTTTTAATGAGAGAAGGGGAAGAGACTTAAGTGTAGTCCTACTTTATATTCTTTTCAAATAATTGTTTCACAAAGAGTATCTTTAACCTTGTTTTTATTTAATTTACTTCGGTAAGGGGATAGAAAATATAAATACATAAATTCAACATAAACCAATACTTAATTTCAAGGATAAGTTGTTATCTGGGGGATGTTCCATTCATATAGTAAAAGAATTCTTATAAACACTGGTATAAAACAACGATGTGAGAACAACCCATGTTTGACTTTGCTCAGTATCTCAAGTATGTTTTTGTAACCTATCACTTTAATTCACTACTCGTCCCATCCACTGCCATTTATTTAATAACTTACCACATTAAGATACTTGGTAGGTGAGGCTCGGGTTTATGGCTCACATGTGCTGCTTTGTCTTTTTTCCAGACCTTTGATGAATGTGTAGCTGAGGGCGGCTCAGACTGTGCTCCAGAGAAGCTCTGGCTTCAAATCCCATTCTTCTGTGGCCACAGCTCGGAATGCTGGTAGGGAGATAAAGCTAGCTTCAATCAGTAATCTATTTATTATCTCTATAATCTGTATTTCACAAGGGTGAGTGTGTTAGTCAAGGACTAGGTGTAAGGAAGTTCATGAAAGACCAGACCAAAAATAACATGTAATTAAGTAATACCTAGTTTTTAGTTACCTTTAAGTGCATTAAAAAGATTCTTCATGTAAAACATGCTTGCAATGATTTCTCAGATGCTGGTTTTTAATTTTTTTTTGTTTTTGGTGTTATGTGTCTTGCTATGTTCTAGCAGTGGTCTTAATTAGAGGTCAGGGGTCCTTTCATAAACCTCATTTTCTCCTAAGCTTATTGTTTGAGCCACCCATTTTAGATCAAGAAGAGGCTTAGTGGGTAAATTATTCACCTGGATTTACTGTTAAACTGATTTGACTTTGAGAGAAGCCAAGGTAAAATAAAGATATTTTATCTTTAATAGAGTTTATTTCCTCAGAATGTGCTGAGTTTTCAGTTTAAAAAAATAATGGTACGTATTTGTTCTAATCAATCATTTTAATAGGAAAAGTAGAAAAAAACAGGAACACATTCAAAGTTAGTAGCTTCCTTAAAACCATGAGCGATATAAGGAATGCCTTCTGTTCTTTCCATCATTATTTGAGATATAGTATTAGATTACTGAGAACCTTAAGGCCCTACTCAATAGATTGTATCAGCGCATAATACAATTGACCCTTTGAACAGCACAGGTTTGAACTTCGCGGGTCCACTGAAATGCAGATGTTTTTAAATAAAGATGTATTACAGTACTACATGATCCGTGGTTGGCTGAATCCTCGGATGTGGAGCTGGGGATATGGTGGGCTGACTGTAAAGTTATATGCAGATTTTCAAGTGGGGAATGGGGGGTCGGGTCTGGTTGGCACCCCTAAACGCTCGTGTTGTTCAAAGGTCAACTGTAATAATGTAAGAATTGGAAGCTTAGAAAGAATGTCTTCTCAATTTTTAATCATTTCCTTACAACAGGGGTCAGTAGATTACAACCCAGACACCAAATCTGGCCCATCACCTGTTTTTATAAATAGTTTTATTGGAAGACAACCACATCTATTTATTTACTTAGTGTCTGTAGCTGTTTTCACACTGCAAGAGCAGGGTTAAGTAACCAAGTGACCGAGACCATATGACCTGCAGACCCATCTCCGGCTTTACTCTCTGGCTCTTTAGAGGAAAGGTTGCCACCCCTACCTTAGAGCAATAGAGAGTATATCTCTCCATTGGGCATTACCGAGGAGATTTTAATCACACTTCTTCAGTATGTCTCCTCGATTCATAGAACTGGGAGGCACCTGAGAAATCAACTCGTTTGCTTCCCCAGCTTCCCACCACCCACACCAGCTTTTTAATGGCTGAGAAAACAAGCTCAGAAAGGCAAAGTCGTCAGCTCAATATCACACTGCTTAAAGGCAGAGCTTGGCATTAGGGTTAGGGAATGTCAGTGCTAGAAAGAACCCAAAGGCATAGTTTACTTAGGGCCAAACCTCTATTCACAGCCATTAGCTAAAAACGTGAAAAATAAAAAGATTCTTAGCAGAGCCATTTCTTATCCTATTTCTGTTTTTAAGAAATATCAGAAAAACCTAAACTCATAAATTAAATGAAGATAATCGCTACACAAAATTGCTTAGACCTTCCTAGAGAGCTCTTAAAATGAACGAAGTTTAGAGTACAGTTGACCCTGGAACAAGGCGGGGGTTAATCCCGGTATAATTTATAGTTGGTCCTTTGTATTCACGGTTCCTTCGATCTGCAGATTCAACCAACCATGGTCCATGTAGTGCTGTAGTATCTACTATTGAAAGATATTTGTGCAGGTCAAACCCATGTTGTTCAAGGGACAACTGTAGTTAACAAAAATTAAATGCACTCATACTAAATCAGATGGGAGGATATGTATACACATTTCTTAACTGTTCAAATTAAGTGTCCTCTACTAAAATCTGAGTTAGCCCTGCGTAGTTGAGCAGAAACTGGGGGCAGAGGCAAAGGAAATTAGAAACAGGTGTGCCTCCCAAAGGACGTTAATAAAAGGGCATTAAGGCTTTGGATGGACATGTGTTTATCTGTTTTTTCCATAATATACAGTGTCAAAGGCATCAAAAGTATTTAGCAGATTTCACAACCAATTTTTTTATTCCTTTTTTTTGGTTTTAGGAATGTAGGAAGCAGGTGGGCTATGGATCAAGCCAAATATAACCTAGTTAATGAGTACTTTCTGGTGGGAGTTACTGAAGAGCTTGAAGATTTTATCATGTTATTGGAGGCAGCTTTGCCCCGGTTCTTCAGGGGTGCTACAGAGCTCTATCGTACAGGTATATAAGGATGGGTTTCTTTTTCAAGCTGTCCTTAACTTTGTTTGCCACTTGCAAAATATGTGTGATTTGAAGTTTGTTGAATAAAACTCCAGAAAGGCAGGTACATTGTCTGTTTCTACTCACCATTTTCAATACAAAAACAGTACATGGCACACAGATGGTATTCATTAAATGTTTGTTTAATGAATAAACATGCACGAGATTATAATTAAAAGGCATTGTAGGTATAGTGGAAAGATACAAACTACAGGGCCAGCCTTAGAAATGTGTGATATTCAGTAATGCCAGCCATACATTCCACCCTTTAGACATGTCTAGTGCTATTTAGGTAGGGGTAGGATGGAGAGACTGAGTCACATTGGTAATGATCCTGTGCTATGTCACAGTGCTCCTAAAAGAATGCTTCAGCAGCTGTGACAGTATTACATATTTGAAAGTGACCGTGCTGGTCCAGTCTAATTCTGATTTTTTTTTTTCTGTTCTTTGGTAAGATACAATCAGAGGAACTCTTTTCCTGGAGTGTGCATGTGCCCTAGCTTTTAACACATAGATATAGAGAATAGTTTATGAGAAATCAGCACTAAGTTTGAAAATAGGTATTTTATCATGTGTTTAAAAACGAACTAGTCAGAGCACCAAGCATTTGAGAATACAGCATGTAAGGTGACAGCCTACACTTTACCAAGTGGCCATTCTTACTTTTTTTTAAAATAAATTTATTTATTTTTGGCTGCATTGGGTGTTCGTTGCTGTGCGCGGGCTTTCTCTAGTTGCAGCGAGCGGTGGCTGCTCTTAGTTGTGGTGCGCGGGCTTTCTCTAGTTGCAGCGAGCGGTGGCTGCTCTTAGTTGTGGTGCGCGGGCTTCTCATTGCAGTGGCTTCTCTTGTTGCGGAGCACGGGCTCTAGATGCGCGGGCTTCAGTAATTGTGGAGCATGGGCTTAGTTGCTCTGCAGAATGTGGGATCTTCCCGGACCAGGGCTCAAACCCGTGTCCCTTCCATTGGCAGGCGGATTCCCAACCGCTGCGCCACCAGGGAAGTCCACGATTCTTACTTTTATTATTTGACATCTCATTAAGTCTTTAACAAGGGTAAGGATTTGCATTACAAAGGAATAAATCACAATTCTAGTATGATTAGGGCACTGTTTTTGCCTGAATGATATTAAGACAGAACAATTATGCTCTTCCATGTGTCATACTAACTTAAACCATCTCTTCAAATAAACAGGCATTGATCTTTTGTGTGTTCTCAGAATTTATTTACCTTTTCTCTTTTTCCTTTGTAAGTAGGAAAGAAATCTCATCTTAGGAAAACCACAGAGAAGAAACTCCCTACTAAACAAACCATTGCAAAACTACAGCAATCTGACATTTGGAAAATGGAGAATGAGTTCTATGAGTTTGCACTAGAGCAGTTCCAATTCATCAGAGCCCATGCTGTACGAGAAAAAGATGGAGACCTCTACATCCTTGCACAGAACTTTTTCTATGAAAAGATTTACCCTAAATCGAACTGAGTACAAGGTGTGGCAGTTAGATTCTTGAACTACAACTTTGACCCTGTCTTCACCTTAGTTCTCAGCTCCACAACTTGGATTGCTGATGGGTGTGTAAGATAATTTGTATTGAACTGAGTTAGGATACAGAGAGTGACGTCAAGGAAGTAGATTCTGGCTGACATGTCAGTGGTCTAGGAAGTTTAGGTTTCAGCCTTTTTTTTTTTTTCTGTCTAAATTTTGGTGGGAGTTATAACCTGCCTGAACAAAACCTACACATCACCTAAAATAAACACATAGCAGGTCTAATTGAAGGCTAAATAATGAAATACAATTTCAGAAAAAGTTCTGATACTCTGTTTTTGATAAAGCATTTTTTTCAACTAACCATCAATGAAGATGAATCCATTTGCTACTTCCACCTTCACCTGGAGGTTTGGGTTATACACCTCTACTGGATAGTGTTATTAACTGTTTGGCGATGTGTACTTTGTTTCTGTGAATCACGTCCCATGAAATTCACTGAAATGTTTGATCACGTTTGCTAAGACTGTATCTGCTGTAGTTGGAACTGCCCGTATTTATGTAGGTCATTTTAATTTTCTTAAAAAAAGTGATGATTAGTGTTAAAAATCAATTTAAACCATTATTAATACTGTAAAAAGAATCAAAGCAGTATTTCTCATTCCTGTCTCCCCAGTATCTAAGATTGGGGAAACACTTCAAAGAATGTTGACATTGCCTGAAGTTTTGGTTAAGGCTTCCACACATTAATATCAAAAAAGTAAGTTTAGTATTTGTTTCTCCATGGGTTATTTGTAAAGGTGTAAACTGAGGTATTGGTGAGTCCATATTATAACTCCATTTAGTGAGCTGTGGTATGGGTAGGATTTTCCTACTTCTTCTGTACTTTTACTTGTAGACTATTTTTACTAAGGTGCTTTATAATGTGTTTTAAAGCATTGCATTTACAAAAAAAAATGGAAAATGCTGTAAATACTGCATATTTTATGTATTTGGACCAAAAGATTATAAGTAATTAGACAAAAAGTGGTTTTGCACCAATTTTATTATGTCAAGTAAAACCATCAGACCTACTGTTCTTGTATTTTTCATTTAACTTTACTGTTAAGACATCACTGCAGTGAACTTCAATAACCTTTCAATTTTGATACACAGTACATTATTCATAATTGGGGGCAGTAGTTATAGTGGAAAGAGTACTGGATGAGGAGTCAGAAAACTTGATTTCTTGTCCTGGCTCTGCCACTTACCAGCTGTGTGATCTTGGGCAAGTCACTTAATCGCTCTCTGCCTCAGTTTCCTCATCCTGCAGTGAGGATGATAATACCTGTCCTACCTACCTCACAGGGGTGTTGTGAGGATTAAATGAGATGGCATGTGAAAGCACTTTGAAACTGTAAGGCGCTATATAAACGTAAGGTATTATGGAAACATCTTTAACATATAGTTTCATACCATTCATTTTTTAACAAAGAAGAAGGGTCCACCTATAAGCTGGTTGAAAAAACAGTTAATCTCTTGATATAAATTTGTGTTTAATAAATCTCTTCTCGGTGTTTTATCTTCCCTGTTTCAACAACTATTGAAATATTGAAACACCTGTGAACTCTTACAGTTTCCTGAGCAGCTGCTTGAGTTCAGGAGGTTCCCTGTTTGAAAAAAGATTTCCTTAGCTGACTCAGGGCAAGGGAAAATTTGCTCTTCAAATTTGGAAGATTTTTCTGTTTTTATTTTACATTACCATTCAGAAAGTGTAGCTATTTTATACCTCTGGTTTTTAAGGTATACTTTGCAGAGTTTGATCTCCCTGTGCATTCTTTACCTTCTTCCACTTCTTAGAGTAGCAGAGATAAAGAATTTTAGAAACATTTTCTAAAAGGATAATCTTTAATAGGTTTAGTTTAAATAAATATCCCCGAACAAGGCCTCACCAAACTATGTAAGCATTTTAGTCAGGTGGCTTTAAAGGTTATTAATTGCATAGAAGGAGGAGGGAGCGCTACTTATCAAAAGACATTTATAGACAAATTTAAAGAAAAGCTGAAGGAAGTTGACAGAAAGAGTCATTGTAGCACCCTTTCCCCCCAATAATAGGACAATATTAAGGGAATATCAACAGGCATACTTTTCTTACTTGGCTCTCTTTTTGGTGTATTTAATACCTTTTATAGGTATTTGTTGAGAATATATACAAATGATTTCCTTGCCCAAAGTAAAGCACCACCTCAGGATGGGGCATCTGACATTTGTCTGCTAAGGAACCCTAGTATGCAGGTTATTCTTGGAGTCCAGCTAAAATCCTCTTGAGGTGCATCAACTCTTTTAGGTAACTAGAGTAGCACATAGTGCACTAGATCTGGGGTCAGTGAACTTTTCCTATAAAGGTTCAGAGAGTAAATACTATTTTAGGCTTTGCACACCATTGGTCTCCATCACAACTACTCAACTCTGCCATACTAGTACAAAAGCAGTCATAGACAACACATAAATGAATGAACATGGCTGTGTCCCAATAAAACTTTATTACTGAAACAGGTGACATGCCAGATATGGACCATGGGTTGTACTTTACAAACCCCTGTAACAGATTATTATTTATGGAGAAATCACTTTTGAATCTGTACTCTAGTGGCCTAAAAGAGTTTATATACTTCCAAAAACTAACTTCTATCCAAAGAATAGCTTTGTGATTCAGGCAGTCTCTCCCACGGTTTCATAAACTTTTACGACTTCGATTGTTTCCAGGTGGGCGTGTTTTCTTTCCCGGTTTAACAGTTCAGAATAGGGGCATTTATGCTATCATCTTTTAGGGTGGGTTAAAAGTATCCTTCCTGGAGACTGAGGAAGGGTTAGATTTAATTCCATGTGGTCCAGTACAGTCCTAGGAATCTGACAAGTGCAGAGTCCTTATAATACCTAACTTTATAATCAAATAAATATAACCACTGAGACGATAATGTATTTTTTTAAAGTGGCAAATGTGGTTTTCTTTTTTCAGCCTTTGTGCTTTTTCAGTATTTTGAACATAGGGGAAAATTTTTTTTTATAATACAAAAGCAAATTAACCACTTTGAATTTTAAAAGATAATGTTATATGTGTATGTGTACATATATATATCTATATATGTTTATTTCCTAAAAGAGGAAAAAGTACCTTTTTGTTCAACTTGTATCAACTCCTATTTTCTAATTGCTGTGAAATGGCAACTGTTGATAAATTATTGTGACTGTTTTAAAATGTAATGGGGAGGATATATTTTGATTTTACCCAACTTTAATCTGTAAAGTATCACTTAAATATATCTGATAGCAACACTTAAAATATTGCATGGGGATTACTTTTCTATCATCCATACGCATTTGTGCAACTTTGAACATATTGGGTGATTCTGAATTCCTGATGATTGGATTTAAATTACTGAAAATCAGAGAAAAACTTACTGACTTTTAAGCTTTGCATTTTATTTTTTATTCTTAAAATTCAATTAATGCCTATAATTTGAAGTCCACTGTTGCTCTTTCTCAATATTATGTCCTATCAGAGATTCCTAAAATTGTTTGTGCCATCAGTGATTTACAAACAGTATTTTGATATTGCAGATTATTTGCTCATTGTATTTGCATAGTTAGAAAGAAGATAGTTTGTAGACAATGATTCTCTTTTTCTAATAAAATGAAATAAAAATTCTAAAAGCTCTAAAGAATTTAACTAAAGGCTGGTTCCCAAATGCATAGCTGGTATTTTAATTTACATTCAAATTCTACATAGAGAACATCTGTGTAAACCATCTCTGGGTTTTCCCATTGATCATTCTCAAACACACCTACGGTCCTAGAATCCTTTATTATGAGAAGCACCCGGTATTGTAACCTTTTATGAAGTTTGTCTTTAAGAGGCCCAGGTGCTTCTACTTCATGAGTTGGAAATTTGACTCTTCATAAATTAGTGCTATTTGCTTTGAGAGGAAGCAAGGCAATTGCTGTTAAATTTTTGCATCCATTTATGCTATGCAAAGCTGCTGGATGATGCCAACTAAACTGCTGCTCAGGCAGCCTTTTGAGGGAAAAAGCAACCCTGTTTCAGATGCACTGCCAATTCAGCTCCTCTGGAGTGGAGCTTGCTTTCTGATTTCCTGGAGTGGGAATTTTAAAGAATGAAATGGGCGATCAGTTAGATTTATTCTACAGTTTAAGTTCATGCAGCTTTGTGACCTTTCCAGTACTATTTATAAAAGGACCCTGATGGTGATGATCTCTTTAAAACACATCACTGGTAAGCCTATGGTTTAGACACACTGGTGCTGTCTTATTTTTCAGACAGCTTCTTCAGCTTTCTATTGAGAGTCAGGTGTATGAGCATCCCTAAAGCAGTGTCAAATGTAATTTTGACAAACATGGATTGTATATTTTGACTTTTATCTTATAAGTACACAGACAGCTGAAGAGTGCCTTTTTTCCTCACAATCCATGTTGGAAGATGCTCACTCCTTTCTCTGTCTCTGCTTTCTCTTCTCTCCCCTTCCCCTGTTCAGTTGATTCATTTATGCAATACTGTTTCCAACTTGAAACCATTTTGTCACATCTGTTGGAGAGATAATCACTCCTTTTCCTTAACATTCTGCCAGCTTTCTGTTGTTGAAGTGTTTCAATTGATTACCTGATGCAAAAGCTATAAAATAAACACTCAGTGGGAAGGGCAAAAATGGTTTGGTGTCCTGTTTTAATATTTTCTTCCGCAGCCTTGACGCTGAAGGATGTTTTCCAAGTGGACCCAGTGTTCAGCGTCATCAACTTAACCCTCAGATATCACTGCCGCCAGAGAGGTACGCACCATCACTGGTCTGTTGTGGTTTTCTGGCATATTTGTGACTTGCAGACTGACAGGCCTTTGCTGCTTTTTGCTTTGTACTCCACCATTGGCAGTGAAATTTCAGATAGAAGATTTACAAGGTATACTTAGGATATACTCTTAATTAGAATTAAAAAGGAAATGAGGAAAGGGCTATCAACTTAGAATAAAAAGGAAATTTGAAAGAAAAAAGTTAATCTGATTAACATTTATTGCAGTTTAGACACGTCCATAATATTTCTTTGAGAATACACATTTCTGATAATTATGCTTTTCACCCTTAAAGGAGAAACTCTCAATTAACATAGATTTCCAGTTCTCAGCCACTGACTCATTGTTCTAAGCAAGCATCGTATGATATTGGGTTGAATAAAATACCAGTTCAGTGGAACAGTGTCTAAACAGGGAATTTGGTCTGTACCCACAGAGGCAGAACGGAGAGCATGGATTTGAGAGTCAAATGGACCTGCATTTAGCAGTGTGACTTCAGTCAGTGGAGAGAACAGTATCCTTGTAAAGGTTGCACAAGGTAGATGCAAAGTGCTGGCCCAGGGTAGACTAATAGCTGGTAGCTTTTATAGGCTGGGTTAGACTATTGTCAGGAAGGTGACCTGCCCTTCTGACCCTGCTGAATACTGGTTGTCACTTTAGAGAAGATGTTTTTATAAATATTTTTGAATACCACTGAATTTTACTTTTTTTTTTTTTTTTTTTTGCAGTACGCGGGCCTCTCGCTGCTGTGGCCTCACCCGTTGCAGAGCATAGGCTCCGGACACGCAGGCTCAGCGGCCATGGCTCACAGGCCCAGCCGCTCCGTGGCATGTGGGATCTTCCCGGACCAGGGCACGAACCTGTGTCCCCTGCATCGGCAGGTGGACTCTCAACCACTGCGCCACCAGGGAAGCCCCTGAATTTTACTTTTTTACTGATAACCTACCAATGCCTTTTACTTACGTCAAGAATAGCATAGCTATTCTTCATTCTGATACCTGCTGTTGTTTCCACCTACAAATTTTCTATGAGAAAAGGGGGGTGGCTGATTGTTCTAAAGGACAGCTTGCTTGTTCCAGAAGTCGCTGTGTCCACATATTATTATACTTGGACACTGTGGACTGCAAAGTAGCACACACATAATAAAATCAGGATACCTGGAGTAAAATGATTTGCATTCTTTCAACTCTGTGAGAAAAGAGGACATTTGCCTTAGTTATAAATTAATTAATCATGTTAGAATTCCAAGGTTTGGGGATATCTGAAAAATAAACTTAGTACATAATCATTGTTGCCTGAACCTGCATATTTTCACTGTACTCTTATCATCACTAGCTCTTGCAGGGCCTCTCACCGTTGTGGCCTCTCCCGTTGCGGAGCACAGGCTCCGGACGCGCAGTCTCAGCGGCCATGGCTCACGGGCCCAGCCGCTCCGTGGCATATGGGATCTTCCCGGACCGGGGCACGATCCCATGTCCCCTGCATCGGCAGGCGGACTCTCAACCACTGCGCCACCAGGGAAGCCCTGGATTTCTTGATAATATATTTAGTTCATAAGACCTGTGAGGGGGAAGCAAAAGGAAAAATGTCCGAGGATTTTTTTTTTTTCCTTTCACCTGTTTCATTCTATGAGAGAGAATACTAAGTCCCTTGAATAGATTATTTTTTGGTCTGAAAACAAGGACAATGGGAATTCATGAAAAG